AAGAAAGAAAGAAAGAAAGAAAGAAAGAAAGAAAGAAAGAAAGAAAGAAAGAGAGACATTGGGAGATTTCTTAGAAGGGAGGCCCTAGGCTATCTTCTCAAAAGCAGCCAAAGTGTCATGCTACCACCATAGATTTATCCAGAAATGATGACTAGTAGGACTAAAGGAGGGATGGAAGGAGAGTTTTAAAAGTGGGTCTCTGATGGCCACTACTCAAAAAAATGAAATAATTAAGAAAAAGTCCTCAGGGCTTTCGAGAACCCTACACAGACTCTAAGCAATACATGGGCCCCCATTAGCATTTCTCAGTGGTGACGTGTTGCTACGTGGAGGTCCTGGGAATGGAAGAAGCTCCAAGAACAGAAGCTTGCGACAGTAATGACGAAAGCCACAACTGTCCTCTTTCTCACTACTCATTCATTTGTCTCAACTTAGGTTCTAGGAAGCCAAACGTCGGGAAAGGATCAAGAGAGCAGTTTCCAGGCTCTCGGCCTCATGTGGAAAGGTGCTGGCTCGGTTATTAGATGGCCATCAGCTGTAACCAGGTGGCCATTAGCTACTGTTGGTGGCTGCGTTAGTGAGCACAGGTGTCGCGGATGGTGCAGATCCTGCGGATCCTACTTCCTGTGTCTCCCTGGCCGCCAGCGAGACTGTGGTGCAGGAAGACCCCTTGTTGGGGTGTTGACGGATGTTTGCTTCTCATGTCTGGACCAGCCGTCATGGAGAATATAATACAGTGGCATGAAACACACACACACACACCCCATCTGTGGCTCCGTTGTTGTTCCTTTTTGGCCTCACCAAATCCTGCGTTCATCTGCCGGGAGCTGAGCCCCAGCATGACGCCAAATAAAACAGAAAATGTTACCTCGCTCTGTGATCTCTTTGAGGTCCTCCTCAGCCTCCTGAACTTTGCTAGGCCTCAGGACACAAGGGCCACTGCCTGCTTTCCCAGCTGTTAACAAGTGCTACTCTTGTGTGCGCAGAGGGATTCCAAATCTCATTAAATGCGTGGGTTGGATGAATGTATCCATAATAACAGTAATAATCAGTAATAACAAGATGTTTCAAGTTTAACTAAAAAGGCACGTTCCTGTGTCCCCAGAGCAGTGCCACCTGGGGAAATGGGGGGCAGAACATGAGATGCTCCTGAGTTACAAGCAAGCATAACAGTTTGCATCTATTGAGTACCTACAATGTGCTAAATGAATTATTCACTTAATCCCCATGATTCTCCGCAAGGCAGGTGCTACTATTTTTCTCATTCTAGAGGTCAGGAACCTGAAGTCCAAAGAGGAAAGGTAACTTGCCCGTTATTTCTCTGGGAGTAAAGCGTCCAGCCCGTTTGGAACAAAGACATCCTGGCTCCAAAGCCCATAGCCTTACCATTAACCACAGAGGAGGAAAACCTCAATTCTAATGTAAGTGAGCTACACAATATCAAACAAAAATGTAATAATTCTTCTCAGCTGTTCCACACAACAGAATTTTTTTTCTGTCCAGAACACAATAAGGCTAATGTGGAGGTAAAGGCTACCTACTTTCATTGGGGTAGATGTGGCTATGAATTCTTTGGGGCCATCAAGTCGCATGAATGCTAGGCTCACCATTGTTTGAGGCCCACATTCAAGTTCAAGTACATTTCTTAAATTTGGACTGCTCGACAGCTCTTGGGGGCAACTCTCTCAAGACTTACCCACAAGCCTCCAAGTAATGTAAGAGATTGAGGCAGTTAAGAAGGGGGATAAGGAATTACTTCCAAGAGGACAGATAAATCAATAAAATAATCCAGTCACAGAAAGTCAAGATCAGAGGCAGATGTTGGCATTCCTTAGCTGAGGAAAAGAAGATACTAGGACTCAATTCAAATTGGCTGTAGAAATATCATAAAGGTGGACTCAAACCCCAACATTCTCTTGGGAAATTTTCCCCTTATGAATTGCCTGAGACACTAGCAACACGTATCTACGTAAGAGAACTGTACATACATTTGTATCATCTATATTGTTTTGCATTTATCCTCTACTAAAATGGTGATGACTTTGATAGAAAAGCCAATCTCAAATATACCTTTCTTTCCCAGCACCTAAAACACTATAGGGCGCAAGATAGGTCCTTGGTATATGTTTGTTAAAATGGTGAATGAATGAATAAATGAATGAATGAATGAATGACTCATCAGTCAATTGCTATGCTGTCATAATCTTTGATGGCTGTGTTATACAAGTAATGTCTTATTATGACAATCCAGCCCCTCCCTGAAGCCAACCAATAAAACATTCAAATAATTTTTATTCTATGGACACTTTGTGATAATTGCTAGACACTCTATTCCCAGCAGGCAGAGGCTGGAGATGAAACAGAACCAATATTCAATTTCCTCATCAAGAATTGGAAAATGAAAACAAGACATCTTGAGCATAGTAAAAGAGGAATGTTTTGCAGATCAGCTTAATATATTGCCCTTGAATGCCTAAATGGATTTGCGTGATATCGTCAAGTAACTATTCAATACACGCTTTAAAGCTTGTTTGGCTTGTTCACATTTAAAATATTAAAAGAGAGAAAAGAGATTTGGCTGATTTTTATATTCAATACCCAAAGTGGTGTAGAAGGAAATAAAAACAGCTGGTATTTGTGTAGTTGCTAATTTAGTTGAAGAATAATCATCCATCTAAGCAAAAATAATTCCTCCGGCACATCTGGAGGGAACCAGTTGTAGAAGAGAAGGTGTAGCTTGGTTGCCAAAAGGACATTTCCCTCATTGGAAAGAAACCTTAATTTTATGCAAATTGCCATGCAGCCTTTTTTTTTTTTTTTCCCTGTTTTAGAGTGATAAAACACAGGAAGCAGGAAGGTGGCTTGGGGACTTTTCTGAGATTAATAAAGCCAGGCTTTCTTGGGAAAGACTAGCTGAGCTTTGGCCAGGGGATGAGACACGACAAGTTGAACGAAGCACTGCAGGTTCCCAGTAGCAGCTGCAGGATGAGAAAAACTGCCAACAGCTTGTGACGAGAGACCAAGGGTTGGGTCAAACACTCTAAGAGTAATTGAAAATCGGGACGTTTTGCTTAAAGGGTAAAAAGGAAAAGTAGAGTTATAAATAAACAAGGGTTGATAATAATCAAAGTCTAGTGGGACCAAAAACTTAACCTGCACAGAGATTTTTGTACAGCCGTTCTTTGTATGTTGTTCTAAGCTGAGCATCACTTTTTATACTGTCCTTGCTATTTTAAGAGTTATATTTAGATGTTCTTATTTGCATTTCTGTTTTTCTTCAAAGGAGTGATTCTCAAAACTTATTTGCCTCAGAATCACAAAGGAAGCTTTTTTAAAATGGAAACTCCTGAACCCAAGGCCCCAAAGAATCTAACTAGGAGGACACAGGGTTGAGGCTCAGGAATCGGTGTTTTAACAAGGTAAAGGCTAGGTCCTAGGTAATCTGATACAAAAAAATCAGATCTCACTTTTGAGAAGCTGCTCTTATGATTTATGTACCAGGTAATGTCCTGGATCTATGCAGCTGGAGCAAGGAATCACCACCAGATGGAAATTTATCAAAATTACAGGCATAATGAAAAGGAGAACTCTAAGAGGTCAGAGACCAGCAATTTTGTCACTTAAATGTGATGTCGTCAAATTACTACTCAATAAATGTTTCAAAGCTTACTTGGTTTGTTCAAATTTAAAACGTTAAGAAAATCAAAAGAAGTTTGGATGATTTTTTTTTACATATTCAATAGATGTAGAATATTTCTTGTGCCGGGGTCGTAGTCTCATGAAGGTGAAGAATGGAGACGTGGACCAGAGAGGTAGAGTTTGTAGCAGAAGATAGTTTTATTAAAGCAAGAGAAAGGTTACAGCTCCCGAGGGGGAGGGGGTACCCAGAAAATGGGATGCCCACTAGCTAGGGTAAAAGGCTTGAGTTTTTATCATTTTTTTCTGCCTGGAAGGGGAATGCTGGAATGCTTGTGCCTGTTATTAAGGTGTTTAGCAGGTTTGTTCTGTTGCTCAGCCTTGGGAAGGCCTTTCATAATGTCCTCCAAAATGGCTTTGTTGCTCTGGGGCATGATTAATGTCTCTGTTCTAGTAGGAGGGAGTTACCTTATAATTTTGAAAGGAATGGCTAGTTTAAGGAATGGCCGGGCCAGTTTTTTCTTATCTTTGCTCAGTCTACCAGGGAATTCCTGACTGCCTGATATTATATTAAGTAACCTGTCTTAATATCACAAGTAATGTGGAAGAAAAATAAGCAGTGAATTTGTTTAATGACTAATTTATTGTAGAGCTTCAGAGCCCAGGACACATGGAAATAGGATTCAGGGAGAAGGTTAGAGAGCTACAGAAACTTGTTTTTCCTACTTTTAAGTTGTGTCTGCCTCTCTCTGGAAGACATGACCTGATAATAAACTCCAAGCTAATTTGTTAATGCCTGCAGTAAGAGGTCACCATTTGGTGGCAAATCTCTGTTTTGCCCTATTCACCTACCTCTCCGGGTGAGGCATGTCCAAGTCTGCCTTACCGGTTCAAACCTTGTTCTTCTGATTTAACTGCAACCCCTCCTTCAATTGAGAGAGATATACGGTGATCCTGGTGTGTTCCCGGGATCATGATCTTGCTGTTGCCGAAGAATGGAAACACGGATCGGAGAGGCAAGGCTTAAGCAGTACAGTTTTATTGTAAAGCTCAAGAGAAAAAGCTCTCTGGGGAGAGGGGGGTCCGCAAGTGGAATGCCCCGCGGCTGGGATGCACCGAGGACTATAATATCTGAGTCAGAGCTGACTGGTCTTCTGTACCCGGGCAGTTAATCTTGGCGGGCTCTGCAGTTTGAAATTGTCTGTTACAAGCTGAATGGCCTACCTACACCTGGGCTGATAATTCTGGCAAGCTCTGCAGTTTGAATGTGTTTGTTAGCTATTCTAAAGTTGTTTTCTTTGGCTTTTGTTATGGTCTCCACCTTAATCCCCTCCACCATGGCCATGGCCCTGACTGCCTATGGTTTTTCTATTTCAAGAGAACATGGAAGAAAATTGGACTGAATGAATAGGAATGCTGTCCTAGACAGCATTTTGTCCCCTCCCACATATGCACAAACTTCCTTCTATCCATCTGAGAGGTCTGTGTAGCAGTGTGGCCCTAATAGCAGGAACCTTTGTAATTTCCCTTTGTGGGATGCCTGGGCTATATAGTAGGTCAATAGAAAAGTGGGAAAACTGGCTTCTCACCTGAGTTCTGTAGAGGAATATCTATTTTTCATTGACCCATTAAGGCACCCATTCATCCAAAGAAGTAATATGCACTAAGACATACTAAGACACATCCTTTCTTAGAGACATTCAGCATACACTGGCTCAATAGAGCCAAAGATTTCTCAGAGGGCCTATTTCCTAAAGCTTTCATCATTCTAGAGCAGCAGTTCTCAACCTGTGGGCGTGACCTTTTTGGGGGTCGAACGACCCTTTCACAGGGGTTACCTAAGACCATCGGAAAACAAAAAGATATTTACGTTACGATTCAGAACAGTAGCAAAATTACAGTTATAGAGTAGCAACAAAAATAATTTGATGGTTGAGGGTCACCACAACATGAGGAACTGTATTAAGGGGTCGCGGCATTAGGAAGGTTGAGAACCGCTGTTCTAGAGGCTCTTTGGGTCCCTCTCTCCAAGGTCCCCACCTCAGTTTCCCAGCTATTAGTTCCATGACAACTATCAAGGAATACAAGCTTTGGGCAACATAGCACATTCTCCAGTGCGGATGTGTTTGACTCAGAAAGTCATAGTCTTCCACACCCATCTCTCATCTTCCCGTTCACCA